AAAGAAATATCAATGATGAGAATCATTGACTGGCTGCCTCCTGCACACCCCCTACTAGGGATCGAGCCCGCAACCCAGGCATGTGCCCTTGACCGGAATTGAACCTGGGACCCTTCAGTCCGCGGGCTGACGCTCTATCCACTGAGCCAAGCCGGCTAGGGGGACAACGTGCTTCTGGTCAGCTTGTTCCCCAGGATCCTGATTTCACCGCCTCCCTGACTTATCCCTGCTTAGCGTTCTCCCTTCCCTGTCAGTGGAGGTTTTCAAGCCCCATTGGCACTGACATCCGCTGTCTCATCGACGTCCTTCTGATCAGTGCATCCGCCCTCAACAGCAACAGGCAGGTGGGCAGATAAATGGCACGTAAGCTCTTGAACCTGGGATATGGGACCTCAACAGCCCCCCTTTCCAGGCAATTCTCAGCATGTCCATATTGTTTCCTCCAGGCACTGCCAGACATGGACTCACCCTTCATTCACTTTTTTTTAAATACATTTTTATTGATTTCAGAGAGGAAGGGAGAGGGAGAAAGATAGAAACATCAATGATGAGAGAGAATCATTGATCGGCTGCCTCCTGCACACCCCCTACTGGAGATCGACCCTGCAACCAGGCATGTGCCCTTGACTGGAATCGAACCCGGGACTCTTCAGTCCGCAGGCCGGCGTTCTATCCACTGAGCCACACCAGCCAGGGCTCATTCACTCTCATGTCAATGCCAGAGCCCTGTGGCCATGAATTCGCACTCCCTCCCCAAGTGCACATCGCTCTTCCGACCACCCCGCTCTCCCGCCTGCTCTCCCACGGCCCCGCCTCCTCCTGCCCTGCACCGCGGACATCTCCTTGGCCCTCTGCATGTTCCTCAGCGTGTGTGGTTCAGGGACTGCTTGGTAGATTCAAACAGGACCAAGTGTACAGTACGTGGACCCTGACGGCCCACACAGACACAGGCAGCCTGGAGCCCTGCTCGGAAGGCCTCCCTCCCTGACTGCGCCTTGCTCCAACCTCAGCTCTCCTCCCCTGGTGCTGCACTTGGAATCCATTTCCCTCTCTCGGCCTCACCCGCATGAAGGCCCAGCCCTGGCCACTCTCCGTCCTGTGCCCAGTGAGTTACCCAGGTGACCACTTACGAATCCGCCAGCCAGACTGCAACCCCCTGCGGAGAAAAGCTGGTCTCGGCCAGAGGGGAAGCAGCAACTGTTCCCCAATTTCCTCTGGGACCCTGATAGGTTCCCAAAGGAACTTACCTGTAAGAACAAGTAATTCTGGCTATTCTGACCTCTTCCAAGTAATATACCTACTGGTTTTGGAGACCAAAAGCAACAGAGAACAACTACACAAGGTTCGCAGGAAAGCGCCAGTAGAGAAGGCTGTTCACCTTAAGAATAATTATGGGAGCCCTGGCTGGTTTGGCTCAGTGGATAGAGCATCGGCCTGCAGACTGAGGGGTCCTGGGTTCGATTCCAGTCAAGGGCACATGCTCGGGTTACGGGCTCGATCCCCACTAGGGGGCGTGCAGGAGGCAGCCGATCAATGATTCTCTCTCATCATTGATGTTTCTATCTTTCTCCCTCTCCCTTCCTCTCTGAAATCAATAAAAATGTATTTAAAAAAAAGTGAATGAAGGGTGAGTCCATGTCTGGCAGTGCCTGGAGGAAACAATATGGACATGCTGAGAATTGCCTGGAAAGGGGGGCTGTTGAGGTCCCATATCCCAGGTTCAAGAGCTTACGTGCCATTTATCTGCCCACCTGCCTGTTGCTGTTGAGGGCGGATGCACTGATCAGAAGGAACCAAGGTACATGCCCTTGGCCGGAATCGAACCTGGGACCCTTCAGTCCGCAGACTGACGCTCTATCCACTGAGCCAAACCGGTCAGGGCAATATTTTTAAAAATTAAGTTAAATAAAAGAATATGGGAAACTAAAATGGGATTTTGAAAGAAAAAAACCCAGAAGCAAGCATAGGGCTACTCTGAGAACTATGACAAGGTGTTTCCCCTTCTCTTTATTAATAGTTTAAGAAAAATTAAAATTACCATTAAAAGGGGGAAAATTACTAAGGACCTTGAAATAACGCAGCTATTTTATCTGTTCTGAACCACACCTAACTAAGCTGGAGTAAAGCTTGCCTAATCAACCAATATCTGTTTTTAATCAGAACCTGCCCCCTTTAAACTGGGAATGTTATGGGGCAATTTAAATATATTTTCGCTAGTCAAATCCGGCTCAATTCACCTGATAGGGCAAGATTTAAAAAAAAAAAAAAAACCAATGACGTACACGTATCCTTTTTGCAGAGGGGTGAAATGTACTTAGAAATAAGTAAATCAGATACTGAACCAATTGGGAAAATAAGAACTTGAAATGCCTTTCACCACCTGGCTGCCGTGGCTCAGCTGGCCGAGCGTCATCACCTGCACAGGGTGGATGGTTTGAGTCCTAGTCAGGGCACAGGTCTAGGTTGCGGGCTCCGTCCCCCATAGAATCTTCAGAGGGAACATTCGTTACAAGACATTCAATGCCACTTCAGGCCTTTCCAGTCACCAATGTCCTTTATGCACCAATATCCCAATACACAAAATTACTTTTAAAACGGGGCCTTTCATTCCATGTACAAGTTCCTATAATCCTCCTGTCCTTCCATTAAAGTTCAATGGGAAAGAATGGAGATTTGTACAGGATCTCATGGCTATAGTTATTCCCAAGTGCCCTATGGTTCCAATTCCACATAACCCATCATCAGCCCTTCCTGTGAATTGCCCATATTTTTCAGTGATGGATTTATGTAGTGCCTTTCCCAGCATTTCTGTAAAAGAAAGACAGAAATACCTCTTTGCTCTCACCTGGAAAGATCACAAGTTTACCTGAACAGTAATGCCCCAGGTATATGAGGAAAGTCACACCTATTTTTCTTAGATACTAAAAGCTGATTTAAATGGTGTCAAGGTTTTCTAGAAATTTCACAAGATTTCACTCTAATTCAATATGTAAATAATTTACTCTTATACTCTAAAACATGACTAAGCTCCCAAAGGGACACCTTTTACCTATTACAACAGCTAGCTATAAAAGGACATAAGGTGTCAAAAATTAAGCTTCAATTTTCCTTAAGTCAAGTAGAATACCTTAACCATCTTACTCTAAAAATAACAACCCTGAAAGACAGGAATTCTACCTTTTCCTCTTCCATAAACAAGCAAGCAGCTTGGAGGATTACTGGGTTTGAGTGGATATTGTCACAATTACGTTCAAATTTTTCATTAAATGTCCAGTCTCTGTATGTCCCATTAAGATCAAATTGAGCTAGCCCTAACCGGTCTGGCTCAGCCTGTGGACTGAAGGGTCCCGGGTTCGATTCCGGTCAAGGGCATGTACCTTGGTTGCGGGCACATCCCCAGTGGGGGGTGTGCAGGAGGCAGCTGATTGGTGT